CCTCAGGTCATGAGGCTAGAGCCTTCATGATGGGGTTAGTGCCCTTGCAGAGAGAGACATGAGAGCTTGCTGTCTGCTCTCTGCCACGTGAGGACACAGCATGAAGACAGCCGTCTCCACTCCAGGAAGTGGGCCCTCACCAGACACGGGCTCTGCCAGTGCTTTGGTCACAGACTTCCCAGCTTCCAGAGCTGGGAAAAACAAACGTTTGTTGTTGAAGCCACTCTGTGATAATTTGTTACAGCAGCCTGAACTAAGACAGGAGGTAAGTGCCAGAAGAAAGAGTTAAGAGCAGAAAGGGATGCAAGCAGAGGGGGGCGGGGGTGCTGTGGGTGTTTGTTACAACCTTGGGGCACTACTTGACTTTTAAAACGATTTGCTTGTCATACACCTTGATTTGTTTAAAGTTAATTGAGTTTCTCGAAACTAAATGTTGGGGGACCTGTATAGGAAAGCCTCACCAATTCGTGCAAGTTGTGTGGCTTGTATAAATATGTAAAACATCTGCACAGTATGAATTTGAAATAAATACTGCTCCTTTTCTTTTCAGCTTCACACAGTAGGTAATCCAGAGCAGGCTAACAGTTTTGCCAAGAGGATAAGCAAGGGCATAAAACAAAGATGGAATCACGGAGTTGTAGAGCTTGCAAAGAACTTTCAGGTTCCCGACCCAGGGCACTTACCGTACAGATCTGTACACGGAGCCGCAGAGGTGCCGTGCGCCCCCAAGACACACGTACTAAGCGGCACAGCCAGGACTCCCAGCCGGGTCTCTGGCTCTGCAGGACCTGTTGCCTTTATGTAGCCAGAGCACCTGAACTCCTCGGGACCACCCTCCAAAGACGGTGCTCAGTGGGAAGAGTTTCCAGAACAATAGCCTGGCAGGGTGGAGGGAGAGAAAAGAAAGACACTGGGAAAATTAGTTCCACACGTGCCCAGAGCCCATGAGAGAGGCAGCAGAAAAGCCACCTGTCTAAAGGGCTCCGCCCCACATGCCTGACCCTTGGTGAAAACTTTATGGATCGAACCCAAAGTCTTTGGCTCAGACTGGAGCTAGCAGAAACCTGGATGTGGCCGGCCAGCCTAGGCACAGCCCCTCCGTGTGAGGAAATGTGTTCGTCCTAGCGCATGAGCTCCGGCCATAACAAATACAAGTCACTGGACTCAGGCGTGGAGTAGAATTTTGTCCTTCAGAGCACTTCTGTCACCTTGGGGGCCCACTTTTTGTCGTTTAGTATTACCTATTTAAAACATGTGGGGACACCTCTTTTCCAGAGGCTTCTGAGCCAATTTAGAAACCACGACAGGAACGTGGGTCTCGTGGTGGCATTAGCACCTCTCCCTCCCTCCCTCTCTCCGAAGCAACGTCATGCAAATGCTTCTCGGCTATTTCCACAAAGCAGGCCTACCTCCAAGGACTGAGCTCCGACTCCATGGCAGGACCATAGAACAAAGAATGAGCTCAGAATCCAAGTGGGATACTGAACCAGTTCTAAACCAATTTTGACCATGGCGTCAGCATAGGCCTGAGCGCTCAGCTTCCCAGCCAGGCTGCCGGCAGCAAAAGGAGAAGCTCAGCATGCACGTTAAATGTCGGGTCTGCTGAGGCAGCTCGGTGCCTGGCACTGGCCCCAGGGCTGGAGGCAAAGCCCTGCACCTCAGCCAGAACGAAGACGGTGAGGTTCTGGCGTCCCCACAGCAGGCAGGGGGACAGAATGGCCTCTGCGGCCCTGGGGACAGACTCCAGGCTCATGTCCCTACTCCTCGCCCCCCCCCGAGCCAGCTGACCAAGTGCCCAGGGCAATAACCATGTACTCACCCCCTACAGTGATTGGTGGACTCAGTGAAGCAACACATAGAAATCCCAGTGACTGGCACACAGAAAGTTCACGATGTGAGCTGCGACCACCAAAGCCTGACCCGAGTGGACAGGAGCTCATCACTCCCTTCACTGTTGGGACGGTGTTGGTTTGCACCTTGGGAGCCCCCAGAGGAAATCTGAAACAGGCCCATGCCAGAAGCGCAGGGGTAGCCAGAAGAGGAAGGCCACTCGGATGGGTAGGTGCCGGCGTAAGAAGCAAGGGGCTTACAACGAGGCTGGTCTTGGGCGCCACAAGATGAACACGTCTCCGCACCCATCGCCAGAATCCTAGAAGTTTATGGAGGGGCCGTAACTGAGTTCAGTCCCAGCCACTGTCTAGAAAGTCTCAGCAACACCTTTCTCTCTCAGGACTACGTCCTTGCAGATGGCTAATGGTGGGACAGGAGATGGAACGTACATTCCAAGCTCAGGGGATGGGGAGGAACCTCGGATTGTCCAGGGCCAGCTTACGGGTCAACCGGTGGTCACATCCTCTCATGACCTCCTCCAACAGACAGACTGTGCTTTTTTTCAGAAATGCTCACGCGGGATACAAAGTGCCACCCCAGATCCGCTGAGCCTCTTAACAAAATGTAACGTAGACACACGTAGTGTCTTTGTAAAATCCAAACAAAACCCAAAACCCACCTAGTTCTTAGGGAGTTCCAAGGCTTTAGTTAAGGAAATATAGATCCGTATTATGTTACATTCCAGAACAAAGAACCTCCTAGAACCCAGGAAGGAATGATAAATCCAAGGTTAGTAGTTATCCAAAGGAAGGAGAGATTAGTTCCTAGAAAGGTCCTTGAAGTGGGCATCCTATCCCTGGGGTGGGGGCTCCCCGCCCTCGATGGGCAGCGGGTGACTTTCTTGTTATCAGTGTGGAGACCCACACTGACCATGTGCCAGGCACAGCTGCGGCCTCATTTCAACTTTGTAACAATCCCAGGACTATGAGGAGCCCCACAGGAAAAGTCAGGCTCAGAGAGGCGAAGTGTCTGGTCCACAGCCACACAAGGAGGCTGGGGCAACCCGATGTGTTCACTCGACTCTGTGCTCCCCACGGCCTTTGCAAGTGACCTGCACAGCTCTGCCCAGCCTGCCCCCTCTGCCCACTCATGCCCCCTTGATCCTACTCCACCTGCCCCCACCATACCCACCTGGGCTCCCCCAGCACCAGGCCAGCCCCTTGGCCCGCGCAGGGCTTCACTGTCCTCTGCCCAACCGCCTTCCCCAACCCCCTGTGGGAAGTAGCCTGCATGCATATGTGCACCCCAGCAGACTTGGGTCCCTGGCCCCGTTCACTGTTGCCCAGGGCTCTTACCACCGGCAAACACACTCTACTTCTGGTGGTGTGTCTGGGACACGTGCAGAAAGAAGGGCACACTCCCCAGGAAGTGGGCGGCCAACACGGGGACAGGTGGGACCCGGGGGTGGAGAACGTGGAAGTGCACACTACGGACATCCAGATTCAAGCAGGTTGGTGAGAATGCTTTATGCCAGGGGTCCCCAAACTGGCCCGAGGACCAAATCTGGCTACTTGTTCTTGTAAATAAAGTCTTACCGGAACCCACCCTGCCTCGTTCACACATGTGTCCTCTGCAGCTACTTCTGAGCCGCAACGGCAGAGCTGAGCAGTTGCAACAGAGGCCATCTGGCCCACAGAGCTGAAAATATTTATTTTCTGGCCTTTTACCGAAACTGTTTGCCAACCTCTGTTTTCAGCTGTTGATTGTCCAGCAAATAATGCGTGATAGTCATTAGGAGGATGGGGCGAGCGAGGTGGCGTGTTACTTGGCCGTACAAAGGAGGAGAGCACTGACCCCTGCCACAACATGGATGAGCCCCGAGGACATGGTGCCGAGTCAAGCCAGGCGCAAGAGGCCACATGGTATATGATGACAGTTCTGTGAAATGCCCAAACAGGGACATCTACAGACAAAGTAGATTAGTGGTTGCCAGAGGCTGGGGGAATGGGATGATGGGACCTTTTGTCCTCCATTCTGGAGGTGATGGAAATGTTCTAGAACACTGTGGTCCATGCTTGCACAACCCGGTGAATACTGAATTGTTCGCTTTCCACGGGTGACTTGTGTGAATGGGAATCACATCTCAATAACTGTGTTTTTTAAAAAGAAGTGAAGGGATATGGGGAATTCATAAAGCAGATTCCTGCTGGGTTTCCTCCAGCCTGGGGTGACCATCAGGGTGTCCTGAGCTGTGTCCGGGGTGAGGAGGGAAAGTTGCAGGCCTTGCATTTGGCAAGAGTCATTCTGTGGGGAGAAACACCGACCCCCCTCCACCACACCAAGCTCAGCTTCTGGCTTGTGATTTCCAGGAGAGACCCTGACAGACGGGTACAATTTTCCCTTCAGACGTGCTCTGCCTATGGAAATGCAGAAGAGCCAGCATTAAAACAGCAGCCGACTGCCCCCAGTGCTGTGTCCTGGTGGGACGGTATAGGGCACCCTTGAAGGGCGTGAGCAGGGATTGGGTAGACCGCCGTCTTCCAGACTGGGGAGACAAACGCTTTGCGCACAGAGACAGATGCTCTGGGAACTGTGGGGTCTCCACACCCCACATCACACTTGGGAGCAAGGTGAAGACACTTTCCAGTTTCGTCGGCAAACCCTGGAGGGAAAGATCTGTGGAGCATGATGCAGCTGCAGAGACCAGGAGTCAGTTTCATGGAGAAATGAAAGGAAGGTTCCGGAACAGTCGGGTGGTCAGGGCTTGTCCGGACCTGAACAGGGGGCCTTCCCTCAGAGCAGGGTCTCCATCAGCACTCCTCACATCCACTCTCTCCCCTGCCTGACCCCATACAGCCCCGAGTCCTGCTGGCCCACGTCCTCCACCCACCGCCGTTATCCCCGTGCCAACCCCCTTGTCTCAGCTCTGCTTCCAGGACATCCCAAACCAACCCAGCTTTTTTTTTTTTTTTT